ACAAAGACAACAGAATATTATTCAGCCTTTAAAAAATAAAGAAATCCTGTATTTGAGACAACATTGATGGACCTAGAAGGAGACATTCAGCTAAGTGAAATAAGCCAGTCACAGAAAGACAAAAAGTATATGATCTTGCTTATGCAGAATCTAAAATAGTCCAACTCACAGAACTAGAGAGTAGAATGGTAATTGGTAATGTGTAGGAGAAGGAAGAGGTGAGATGATAGATGAAGGATACAGTTTCAGTTCTTCAAGATAAACTCTGGAAATCCATACAGCATATTATCTATGGCTAACAATACTATATGGTTTGCTAAGAGGAGGGTCTTATGTTTAGTGTTCCTACCATAAAGATAAGCAATAATTATTAGAGATATGGGAGAAATTTTGAGATGGTGTCTACAACTTTGAGGTAGTGTTGTTTTTAATGGGTGTACATATCTCTAAACTCATTGACTTGTATATATTAAGTTAAATAAAGAGCTTTGTACACATTAATCTTACATCAATAAAGTAGTCAAAAAGAAGTATGAGTCATTTCATTATGATGGTTGTTTTTAAGGATTTGGGGGGTAAAGGGTATGGGAATAATCAAGAAGAAATGGATAGAAAGCTACACACAATTTTTTCTATAGCTAAAGTATTCCAAAAGCCAAATTTTAATCTGATTTCCCCAACAGTTCTGACATTTTGGTATCCTCCAAAGTACATTAGCAGGCAATGAAATCCCAATAAGTAAAACTGAGGGTATGATTAAAAGAGTGCTTTAAATTAAATAGTTCTTCTAATTCATTTCATAGCACAATAGGCATACAGAAATGTTGGTAATAAAGTTTAACCATTATATATTGTATTATAAGTAAAAATATTAATGCTGTAAACTAGAAGAGCCTTTATCCTTTGGAGGAAGAATCTCACAAACAAAATGAATATCCACCTCCCCCAAATTAAATGTTGGGCCATAAATGATGAAACTTTTAGCTCAAATGACAGTGTACCTGAATCCCAGACCAAAATATTCAAAGTAGAAGTTTTAAAAACTTCATTATTTAGAAAGAGTATACTGTTGTTGGATATAAAAGCAACCCTATCACTTTCTTATTCTGTAAAAAGATGCCTAAATTGGTAAGAGCTTATTTATACTATAGTTTTTAAGATTTACTCTTTTAGGACATTGTAGACTTTAGGGAAGGAACATTAGGTGTAGTACTTATGAAGTGAAATTTATCAGCAGGAAGAGTAGGGGCGATAGTTGGAACATTTTGTTTGTTAATGTATGTATGAGCCTCAGAAGCTTGTTAATTCAGGTCAGGAGTGTAGAACCTTTGCTCCATATGGAATTCAACTGAGATATCTGTGAATTGAACAAGCTAAGCAAACCTCTCACAGGTGAAATCCTGATGCATGGGAAGAATTTATTTATTTGTAAAATGAATAGACTCTTTTTCATACAAATAAACATTTTTGTACCACTGATATTTGTAATTTTCATAAATGCCATTATTATCAAACTAACTATATCCCTTTAAAACCACCAATGAGAGGCTGGCATCGATGACATTGAGGGAAAACACAGCAAGGTTTAAATTTCTCATTGCATGTGAGCATTACCACAGCCAGAAAGGGCTTTCAACAATAAAATTTTTTATCTAGCTCATTGTATGACACTTGGGCGCTGTTCAGATTAAAGCATTACTCAAATGCAGAAAATAACTGTTCAAATAACCACAGATGAGGTCAGAAAGATCATCAGATTTATTGCCAAAGTGGGAAAAAGCATGATTTCCAGAGGTACCTTAATTAATAAAAAGCAGGTAATTCCTTGAAAGCCAGCAATGGAGAGAAACCCAGCACTAAGCATGGGTTTCCCCTGCCCACATTTTAGGTCTTATTAGATGCCGAATTGCTTTAGAATCACCTCTGTAGTGGACTTGGGTTTGGTAATCCACCCAATTAATGAAAGCCTATTCAGCAGAACATTCTTTATTACTTTTTAATTTTTTTTCTTCTGTTGCCTACTTTTCTCCCAACAGAACATGTTTCAACATAAGTCCAGGTTCTATTTTCTCCTCAGTAGCTTGCCATAAAACTGGAAGTGGCAGTCAAGTTTATTCAGGACTAGTTTGGGGAAAGTGATTGTAATGGGAAAAACAAAGGTGAATGGACAGTCCCTCTACTTTGTCCCTGCTGAGCCACCCCAGCATCAGCAGAGATGCCCTGGGTGCTTTCCAGGTGACACAGGACCATGGGAAGGCAGAACACTCACGGCACCACATCCATCCCCCTGACCATCCAATAAATACACACTGAAACCCTCTGCTCCTCCCTGCTCAGGAGTAAAACTCAAACAGTCCTTCTTCTCACAACGTTTTCTTTTTCTGTTCCTTTCTATCCAAAAAATAGGCTGAGTTTTCTGCTGAGCAATATTAGAGTTAATTTGTACTTCTATTCAGTATGAATGAAATCAAAATCCACTGGCCATTCCATTTAACCCACCAGCCAGATGTCAGCCAATAAGCAGCTGCCTCCAAATTTGACACATAGGTAGCCCCAGGCTTAGGAATCTCAAGCCATCTTCAGAAATGGTGATTCCAGTGAAACCAGTCATGTCTGACTCTGTCTCTACTGGACACTGTAATAGCTGAGGCCATTTTTTCTTCCTGGGTCCAGCAGACTTATGATTATAAATACCCTCACTTAGAACAAGCTGTAGGAGTCCAGAGGGAAGATTCCAGAAGTCATGGGGCCTACATGCTTGGCTAGAACACTGAGAAAATGACTAAGTGATTGTCTTCATTTTATACACTAAGGGGATAAGAATACATATGACCAAATTATTGAAAATTATAGGCCAGAATGAAAAGAGCCTCATGGTTAAGTGTAGAATCTACATATACTTGAAATAAAACCACAGCTCTGGCACTAAATACCTTTATGAAAACAACTGTTCTTCAATCTTTAGTTTCCTCTTTTAGGAAATTAAAGATAATTGTACAAACATCACAGAATGATTGTGAAGATCAAAAAGAATCATTCACATCAAGCTTTAGTGTCCAATAAATGTTAAAAACAAAACAAACAAAAAACCCTTTCCAGTCACAGAATTTCCTTTAAAAGGAATAAGGGCATATAGCCTTTATTCTAACCTTCTTCACTAAGATACTGTAAAGATCAAGAGAACAAATATAAGAGAAAGTATTTTGAATTCCTAAAAGGAAAAATAGTGTATATTTTTATAAATATTGTTGGTATTACAGTCAAGGTTATTATTAGCACATCTTGATGGATCTGGGGCTCTGGTCATTGGTTCATGGCTCCAATCCATGTAAGAATCACCTCATAGACAGGTAACCACAGCACTATGGGAGTTGGTGGGATGGGAAAGGGAAAGGAGGAGGGACACCCCAACCTCATCCTTCAGGAATCACAGACTCAGTGAATACCTTCATGACTTGTATATTGTAAGAATTGTAAGAATTCTGAAATTCTGTGCCATGTGCCTCATTTAGGACTTAAATTCTATTTTTCTTAGTTTTGGCTGTTAAAGCAGCTAAAAATCCTAGAAATATCCTTTAATGTTTAGCAATTCCATGCACAATGCTCATGCCCTGAACTCAGCTCCCAACATGAAAATCGAAATCCAATAGGCTATGAGGGATGCACTGATGTCCTGTACAACCCTTGGGAAGAAGGAAGGAAAACTATCTTCATCTATCTAGATGTCATCTCTCCAGAACTAAACTTCATCTTCCAAGAGGGTGATAATTATGATTAGATACAAGGTGGCCACCTGCCAACTCGATCTCATAATCAGCCTTCCTGCGCTTCCATCTCTTTCATGCTACCATCCCTGTTTCCAGCAGCTGAAAATAATGAGACAAGAGACGGAGAAACTAGTTAATAGACAATATTAGAGACAGCTGTTCCCCTTCAGGAGGACCAGTTGCAAAATTTGAGGGATCATTGGTGAGGAAGTGACAAGTGATTTTAAACTATGCTCAGTAAATCAATCTTGCTCACTGATTGTTAATGATATCTCCATAGGCAATGCTATTGGGAATGAAAAGTTAAAGAAAAAAAGTAAGTTTCCAACCTATGACCACAGGAAAGAGTGATTCTCGATGCAACTGAGGGAAGAGCTTCCAGCAAAATACCATAAAGTTTGGGGAGTTTTTCGGTGGGATTGTGCATTAGCATGGATCAGCTCAGTATTTCCTACAGTGTGATAACCATCTCATTTATTGTATCCAGTAATATTTTATGTAGCACATGGATGAAATTTTATAGAATGGTAATGCATTCATTTCAATATTTCAGAAAAAAGTGTGACTACAGCAAGCGTGTGGTGTCACAAGTATTGTTTGTTAGGATGAGGCTACAATAAAAAGTTGATTCAAAGAAAAATATTAAATAAATGTTAAGCAAATAATACTGCAGGTGCTAGTGGATATGAAAGGAACACCAGAAGATGGCACATTAACAACTCTGATGGAGAAACCTGCTCTTAGCCCCTCTACCAAAGACCCCTGTGATTGCCAAATGAGAGTGCCACATCTCACTTCAGTTGGGCGAGTAGAATGGCTAGACTTAAACCCTTTGATTCATTAAGATGACCTCATTTCGTGAGCTGTTTTAGGAGGCCAGACAAAAACAGAGGTGCCTTGATCATGTTCAGGCAGGAGACAAAAGGATTAGTGGATCATAACAGTTTTATAGCAGTAGGTAAACAAAATGTGTTCAAAATTGTCCTTTTTTGGTAGAGAGGTCTTGAAGATGAAGGTTGCTCATATAACTCTCTCTCTCTCTAAATATATATATAAATATATATAAATAAATAGATTGCCCCTTACATAATAGATACTTACCAAGTACCTCTAAAATAGATTGTTTGAAAAAATAAATACTCATATCCTAATTTTATGAGTACTGCAAAATAATTTCAACAGCAAAACTTCACACCTAGGTGCCAGGAAACTGACTTGGGAAATGACACGTACCTTGGGCCCAACTGTCACATGGAACAGTATATTTCGGAAGGAGTGTCCATCACTGGCCTGGAAGACTGTGACATCGGCTGTGCTATTGGAGCCATCGTGAACATAGAGGAGAAGGCCTCTGGAGAGTTCATCCAGCCGGAACTGAGAGATGGAGGCTGCAGGGGACTGATGTGTTTGGAGTAACTGGCCATGGTGTGGAGGATCAAGCACTTCCACTACCACATCCTGTGGATTGTCATCATCTCGGATGTCAAGCAGTTGGGTGGTGATGGTTCCCCGCTCTCCTCGGCTAATGTGGAGACCCTCATTTCTCAGCACATACGGGATCTGTGGAGTGGAAGGGAAAGGGGTAGAGAAAGTCACAAGGACCAACAAACTGATCTTTCTGTGGCTTTTAAGAAACCACAGATGCTCTAGCAATGAGCTGACCTGTTGCTGGGCAACAGCAGTTGTTACAGGTGCAACTGGTCACTGTGACTGTGGTAATTTAGGTTACTTCACACCTTTGGGTTCTAGAGGTTTCTCAAGCCACTTCAAGGCTACAGTCTGGATAAGAAGGAATCAAAAAGAGCTATTGTTTCTAATTTCTCTGCTGTCTTGATTTGCACTATGTCTCCTGCATTGTGAAATTAGCTCAATGTCAGGAAGCCCAAGCAGAGGCTGCAGCCAAGAAAGGCAAATAAGAGCTATGGAATTTGCGGACTTGCATTTGGGAATTAAACACTTCACTTTAGGCCACACTGCAACATGCTGACACAGGGTAAGATGCCTCTGTATTAGAAATTCACACTATTTCTGGTCCCTACCAGGAATTTTCTTCAAGTTCTCTCATCCAAATCCTAACACAGGCCCACCCCAACTCAGCTTATAAGGTCTGACAAGATCATGGCCTGGGTAAGGAACCACCTGGTTAATTCTTTTTTTTTTTTTGGTACTGGGGATGGAACTCTGGTCCTTGCACTTTCGAGGCAGACGGCAGAACCACTGAGCTAAATCCTTGGCCCCACCTGGTTAATTCTTGTGATACTACTCATATAGCAAACTTTGTATGTTTTTCTTGGCATCATCAGGTTTCTCCTACCAACCTGAGTAAGCAGATAAAATGTTCTTTCATAAAGATAAAAGTTAATGAACCACAACAGAAACACACACACACAAACATGAGGCCAGAAGCCAAAGAAAACATTATCTTAGGGTTTTTTTTTAAATATCATTTGAAGTTGGACCATCTAGAACTTTCTCAACACACTTCCTTCTTTATCCCCAAATGGCTTTCTTTCAAAGCTATGCAGGCACTTTCCTGGCCTACTGGAAATTACAATCTCCATTAAGGTCAATCTAACTAATGTATCAAAATAACCACAAGGTGGGAAATTAGATAGTTGCTCCTCAGAATTCCTGCATAAAAGTTCTACAGCTGTGAGTCTCTACAAGGAGAATGAAAGGCTCATGTTCTGAAAGAAGAAAGAAAGGTCAAAGATGTCAAGATCCACAAATGGAAAAAAAACAAATTAACTTACATGACAAAAACTCAGGGAAGCTTAGGACTACTATATGGAAATAGCACTGAAATTTAAATGAACAAAAATAAGTTGAAATTCCTTTCTAAAATTCTTTTAAATAGTTAAAATAAAAATTTATCATGTAATAGACATTCCTCCCCTACTCATTTGATTGTGGGAAAACAAATTCAGGAAACTATCTGAGAAGTCACTATCTCAGATTAGAAAGTAATTTGCCAATATGGACCCTAAATCTTTCGTTGGAGTCACTACAACAGCCCAAATGAAAAGATCAAAACAAAACATCTGAATTTAAATATAAGGAACATCTAAGCCTGTGAGTCCTAAGACTGTGTGGCCGCTGGCACACATTTAAAGAGATCATGTGTTAACTTAAAACAAAATTATACTTAGGATCAATTTCTAATCACTCCTAAACTCCAAGTTATCCCTACTGTAATAGCATCACTAAGGGTTGAGGTGGGTTTTTGACACCATTTGGCAGCCACTTCTGGTTCAAGTCTATGTTGTTATCAATGGCCCACAGTCTTTTCACTTTTAGGACTGAAGATTTTAAAATACCAGCTAAGAACAATAATCTAATGTCTTTTCTTGAATCATGACTAGCACAATACTAAGGTCTGGACATTTAGGTAGTGTTGGTTCCCTGGGATGATGTCCCATTCTCTCGTTCACAATTTATGAAGATACATTACTGTAGATCATTCCTGTTCCTTGCACACATTCCAACTGTTCAATCTCTCCAGCCCCGCTCTCAGCACTTCTGTTCTGTATTCTGGACACATAAATGCAACTTGACAGAGAAGAGTGATGACACATGAGTGTGAAGGGCCATTATACTGAGCTTTATTGCTTCTACCATGATTTCTCAGATCTGTTGGGCTGATGACCACACTGACAACTCATTTAGGCAGATCCTTAATAAGATCCTCTAAGTACTACAAACCCCACACCACTGAGAAAGAAATATTTAGGTAAAACAAAACTTACCTTAAAAAAGGAAAATCTTAAAACCTGAAGCAGCCTTAAATTATTCTGCAGGACTAATATCACATTCAGTATATAGTAAAGTAAGGCATCAAAAGATAACGGTTTTGAGCACAGACTCTGAAGCCAGGTCTAATGGGCACAAGTCTTGACTCTTAGCTATAGACCACACACAAATTAAGTAACCTTCTTGGGCTTTCGTTTCCTTCTCTGTAAATTGGGGGTAATAACATTTCATAAGGCTGGCAGGAGGATCAACTGAGTCACTTATGTGAAACTCTGAGTACTACAAATGCATGAGCAATTGTTATTGCTGACATTATTGCCCAAAAGTACTAAAAATTACTCCAATGGAATTTCATGATAAAACTAAGACAAGTTTAACTTAGCTTGAGTATTTTTCCTAAAGCTGTAGTAAGTCTTGATTTTTTTCCCTTGAGAATAAGTAGGCATACAAAATTGTTGATTGCTTAGCATTTTTAATTACCTGTGTTGAAAATGCTTGTATGTTGATCAGCTGTGGTTCAGAGAAGAACTGGTGGTCACTAATTTTCAAGGAAAAGTAACCTTTGCTAAAGAAGTCAGGACAGGAATAAGAAAATACAGTCATTAAGTGAGTCTTCAGAAAGAAGGATTAAAAATATTTTTAGGTTATGTGTATGTAAACATTTGGATCAAACCACTGTAGAAATGTAATATCCACACTGTAAATAGAAATTACCAAAGAGTAACATAGCCAGACACAGGTAAAAATACAGTACTATGTCTCAGATCTCACTGTAACACACAAATAATATAACTGTTTTGCTTCCTTTTTCTTGAAACTGAATGTATAAACAGCTGAAAATTAGTTGTCAGGATGAGGTAGATTAGCGGTGCAATAAGGCTATGTGTAAAGTGAAGAATGGAATAGAATCTTCTAGTCTCTGCCCAGCTCCCAATGATCACTCTTGCCAGCAAACCTTCCCAGCGACTCCTTCCCAATTCATGTGAATGGCCCCAATAACCACGTTTGTAATGGCTGTGTTATGTGACTCTATCTCTTCTCCCTGCACCCCTACACTCACTCACTGTGATCAAGACTAGGCAAGGATGGCTGATTCTTCCTGGAGAGTTGGACCTGACCTAAGAGCCAGCAGTGAGTCTCACCATGTGAGTCCAGGGCAACCAGAGTACCATGCTGATGAGAACATGGAAGGTGCCTGTCTGTAGGAGGAGGTGAATGAAGCCTCTGAGCAATGGGACATGGGGATAAGAGAAGAGTTGAGTCCTGCCTCCCATCCAGTTTTAGCTTCTGGATTTGCCCCAGAGCACAGTTCCTCTTGATGTCTTTGAGATCTGAGCCACCTCTGCAATGTTTTAATGAGCCTTACTATTTTGCTTGATCTACTTCAAGCTCATTTCCACTACTTGCAACCAATTTCAGTATATGTGCTGCTGAAGCGAGTATTCACTTCTTATAACCAAAGAGTCCAAATTAATAATAAAATAAGGCTCACTCTTTGCTGTGGGTTGACTTCTTTTAAAAGATTGGTGTCTCTGCAGCTTCAGAAAGTGTTAGAAGGGAAGGAGAGAGCCACCCACCTTCAAAGCCAAGCCAAGGACAGACCTCAGTGCTGGCTCATAAGATGTGTGATTAATGCATTATGGCAGCTTTGGAGTTCTGATCTACTGCAGGGACCATTGTTTTAAAGGTTCTTTAAAATCCATTCTTGAGCTGGGGATTTAGCTCAGTGGTTCTGGCGCTGCCTCGAAAGTGCAAGGTCCCGAGTTTGATCCCCAGTACCAAAAAAAAAAGCCATTCTTGGAACTAACATCTTATATGTGAAAGAATGTGGATGAATCTTAAAAGCATTATGGCAATTGCCAGAAACAAAAACTCCATATCTGTGTGATTCTATTCACGAGACATTTTAGAAAGGACAATACTATTGGGGTAAAAAGCCAGATCAGTGGTTTCCAGGGATTAGGCAGAAGGGAGTAACTATAAAAAAGAAATATTTAGGGGCTGGTGGAACTGTTTTATATCTTGACTGTGGCTGTGGTAACGAAACAACTGTATACCATTTGTTACCATTCACTGGACAGTGTGCTTTAGAATGGGGAAATTTATTGGATGTAAATTATAGCTCAATAAATCTCACTCTTTAGAAAAGGTATTCTGTCTTCCCTCCTGTTCCATCCTCCTTTCTGCCCCATTTAAATCCTCCCCCTCTCCACTCTCACCTCGAAGCTTCAAGAGAATGCAAACACAAAATGAACAAAGAACAAAGAAAGGGAAAAATGATTTTTGGTGGCATGGAGGTCCCGCTAACAGTGATCAGGATCTCAGCAATGACAGTGTATCAGAATGACAGGTTTTTTTACTACACAGAGCATTCTAATTCCAAAGGAGTCCAATCCTAAAGAATTCCAATCTTAAAGAATCATGGTCAGTGTTTTCATAAAAAAACAAACAAGAAACATTGTCAAGTTGAGTTTTTGTTGTTCTATCAATCAGAAACAACAAATTTTATTTTTTCCTGAGTTCTACTAACCTCTTTTTATCATTTCTCCATTACTTTTTGTTTGGATTTTTAGATAAAGAAAGCCCAGTATTAAAATGGGTACCCAATAAGATAGAGTAATGCAAGAATTTCCTAAACTCATTCTTTGTCCTGTTTGGGGGTGCAAAACTAAGATTCTGCAAGAAAACTGGTGATGTGTAAAGAAGTAACCAGACAAGAAGGTTAACTTTGGTTGTCTATGAAGTTTTATGCTTTCCACAAGTGATTCCAACTACTGGTAAAAAGCTGTGTAAAGGGTGTGTGTGTGTGTGTGTGTGTGTGTGTGTGTGTATAAGCACATGCATATGTGTAATGCAGATACAGTATTTAAGAACTATACTTGCAGCAAAAGGGAGTACAAGAAACAAATCAGGAATCTGAAGAGTGACTGTACAGCATGAAATATTAGAGTCTGAGGCTCCATCTGTCATAGTACCTGCTTTTCTTTTTGGTGATCTCAGCCCCTATAGAATACAAGCATGCCTATTGTTCCTAGAATATAGGGAGGCAGAAATCATTGTGACTAAAGGCCTGGGCTATGGAATCAGAGGGTGTTGGGTCAGAATTTCCTTCACACTCACAGGTTGTGAAGTTGGGCTACATTACTAATACTCTCAAGGCCCCAGTTTTCTTATCTGTAGACTGGGAACACAATGTACATAGTTCCTGTAAGTGTTTACTACAAGGCATGGTTTAAAGTTAGCACTCAGTAATTGTTAGTTGTTCTTATGGCAATAATATGATCTTCCCAGATACTGGCATCATTAGTTCTGAACCCAAATAGAGAAAGTGTCATCTACTTTTCTCCCCCTCCAAAAAAATAGGAATAAAAATAGTAAAACTGTTCAGTGTTCAGTAGACAATATTCACTGTGTCTCTCTGATTGTTTCATGATTTCAATTCCTTGTTTACACACTGTAGTCTATGGTGAATTATCTGTATTAATGAAGCAGAGCAGAGTGAAGGAGAATCCAAGAGGCTAATCTTCGGGGTTCATTCTCTGATTTCTGTTTAGTAGATTTACTCTGCTAATTACAGGGCTATACTTGCTCGGGTTGGTGTTAACATTCAACTGCCTTCCTGAAGCATGTCAGTAGGGGTGGGGGAGACAGCTGGAAGTATGTGAAGCATTAGAGGAAAACAGGATCAGGCTTAGAAATTAACCACAATTAATCTCATAATGTGGATAATAAAAAGTTAACCATGACTCAAAGTTTCCTTCCACTTCTGAGATTCTAGGGACCACTGAACACCTTGAAAAGCAAGTGCTCCATCCTTCGTCTGCTCCCTACTCCCTCTGCATTATTTTCATGTGGAGAAGCAGCCCCGGCATCTGGCTATGTAACTAGTTTTGTTTTTGCTGGGCCAAAACACTGGTAATTATTCTAGGAGTTTTCCTGTCACATCAGAGAATTACCCATAATTATGTCATTAAATGAAAATACTTCAAACAGAAGCACACTTTCTGAGCAATTACAGGGGCACGATGACAGGCAGCTGAAAGCATTTGTGGAGTATCGATCTTCCCCAGATGAGAATGGAGAGCTACTGAGAAAGGAGGATGGGGAGAGGAATGATGGGAAAGAAGAAGGAGGAAAACAATACTGCTACCTCACCTGAGTTTTTCTTTGCTGTGCACAAAACGTACTCTCTTCTGGTTCACATCTTTCCAGCTAAAATGGCCAGCCTTATCCAGCTGATCCTCTTTTCCATTTCTTGAGAGCACCAGCTGACCGTTGGTGGGAGTGCTCACAATGTGGAACAGGAGGTCTTCCACTGTGCCGTCCTGGGGTTGGATGTTCAGGAGGGAAAAATCCAGTGGCTTCACTGAGCCAATAGCTAGAATCAAGGAACCATTCACATGAAGACTGGGAGTGTGTATTTTGCCTGGAAAACATAAATTCAAAGGTCGGGCCTATTTACATTCACTGATTAGGTCTTACTTATTTATTTTAAAGAAATAAGCATGTAATGTTAATTCAGAGCTTCACAGAGGTGATTCTGGGTTATTACACAGCACAAGGATCCTTCTAACCCATTGTTCATCACCTTGGATGCATGTTAGAAGAAAATACAGGTATAGATTGGTATGATTTGTGAGCTTAACAATGCTTCCTTGGATAGGACACGAAAAAGCACAAGTGACAAAGAAATTCAGTAAGTTTGACATCAAAATTGAAAACTTATGGGTTTTAAAAGATGCAAAGTGAAAAGACAACCTCTAGAGCAGGAGAAAATATTTGCCAATCATACTTAAAAAAGACTTTTATCCAGAATACATAAAGAGCTCTTTTAACTCAAAAATAAAAGACACCACAATTTTTAAAGTGGTCAAGAGGTTGATGAGGCATTTCTCCAAAGATGATATACGAAAGGCCAATGAGCACATGAACATTAGTCCTAAGGGAAATACAGACCAAAACCATAATTAGATATCACACCACTCCACTAGGAAAGACAATGAGGAGTGTTGGTGAGGATGTGGTGCAAGTGGAATCCTTGTAAGCTGCTGACGGGAATCTAAAAAGTGCAGGCACTTAGAAATATAGTTGGGCACTTCCTCAGTGAAATGCTGTACAGTTATCAGGTGACCTAGCAATTCTACTCCTAGGTATATACCCTGAGGAAATGAAAATATATGCCCATACAAAGACTACTGCATAGCATGTTCACAGCAGGCACAAAGTAGAAACAATGCAAATACAGTATCCATCAACTGACAAAGAGAAAAACAGTAGCTCAGTGGTAGAGTGCTTGCATAGCATGTATGAGGACCTGGATACAGTCTCCATCACCACAATAAAACACCAAAAGTTGAGTAGATAAAATGTGGTCTATCCACACAACATAATATTACTAATCCATAAGAAAAAAAGAAAAGATGTATTGATGCAAGCTACAACATGGAAGAAACCTGAGAACATCATATTAAGTAAAAGAAGCCAAATACAAAAGGCCATATGTTGTGATTCCATTCATGCAAAATGTCTGGAACAGGCAAATCTACAAAGACAGAAAGTAGATTAGTGATTGTCAGGGGCTAGCGTGAGGGAGAAATGAGCAGAGACTGTTAATGGTTATGTGGGGTTTTTTTAGGGTGATATAAATGTTCAGGAATTAGATATTTGATAGTGATGCAACTTTGCAAGTAAACTAAAAACCACTGGGTTATATACTTTTAAGGGTGGATTTTAAGGTATGTGAATTATACCTCAATAATACTACTACTACTAATAATAACAAATCACATAGGAAACTTTTAAAACAAAACTGACAAAATCCTTGTCATCGATGAATATTACTGACATCTGGCTCTTCTACTAGAGAGTGTGACTTAGATGTTCTGGAATGGACCTCATTAATTTTACAAACTCATCAGGTAATCTAATAGGCTGGCAGGTTTGAGAACCCAGCCTTATCTTGATACACCTGTTACATCAAATCCAGTGAGGTCAGGAAAAAAGGCAGGTGTCTAATACTGCTCCCTAGAAGAGCAACAGTTAATCTGCAATGAAGCTGGGTTGTGGGTGGCTCACGTGACATATATAAGCTTTATTTTAAAATTTTTACAATGTCCATCCATATGTTGCTTATGATGGCTGAATTAGGATTTCCTGCCCTAAGGTAGAACTCACTCTCTCCTATGCAAGATGTTCTGCTGAAGTCTTTAATTGGTAGGCCCTTCTACAACAAGTCAGACAGGACAGTTGGGGAGTGCACAGTTTCATGGAGATAACTTCTACCATAAGATTATTCTAGTGAAAGTGGAATTCATTTTCATAAGTTGATCTGTATTATGCCCCACAAGAAGTAAGCTAATTCTCACTTGGGGTTTATAAAAAGGTTCCAACAATGTAAGTCAAAAACATATTTTTTCCCTTTGGAAATATCTTAATATCTTTAGAGACCAGAAAAATGGAGACAGAATAAGTGACTGAGTGTGAATATTAGAAAATTCCCCATGTCACTGATGAACAACATTAAAATACTAAGGTACACTAAGCCAAGATGTAACTTCTAAGCTTTAGCTACTTATAAAATTTCTGACATTCAAAACTAGGACTGAATTTGCTTCTATTTGATGTTTAGGGTAAGGTGTCCATTGATGTGTTGGGAGAGACCAACTCCTTTCCTTTAACATGTTACCTTATTTAGAACACCAAACAGTGTGGCTTCAAATCTATCCACTTCACTGTTTACAATTTATCTTCACTGCATGCAAAGAAGATGTACCATTGTATCTTTGCATAATTAGCTCTACAAGTTTACAGGAAAAATTAAATACATTACATATGTAAATATATATAGGTAATTTTCTGTAACATGGCTGCAGTTCAGGAACAAACCTAAATCTGTGCCAAATTTTTTATTTGATAGTTGTGAATTTTCAAAACACAGACCACTTCTTTTTTCATTCCAAACAGTGGACTTTTCCTAATTTCTAAGGATGTGAATTCTGCATTTTATATCATAATTAATTCTGTCCATAAACCCAGCCACTGCACAAACAGATTATTGGCAAATTCACCAGAAATGGGAGGAGGTGAAGTTCTTACCAGCACATGTTTCATTAGAGGAATGGGCAGAGAAGCCAGGAACACAGCTGGCAACACAGAGGCCGCTCCTCAGAAAGAACCCATAGTCACAGAGATGACACCAATCCCTGGAGCTGCACTGCAAGCAACCCTGAGGGCAGGCTATCAAAGAGAGGACACAAGAAATGAGGCACAACCAAGACACAGACACCAGCCAGGCTCACCAGAGAAACAAAGGGATTGCAACCTGAGGAGTCAGTGCACAAACAACAAGGGACCCCTAAGTGGCAACATAAGCAAATCCTAACAGCTTTCCTGTGGAGATTCATAGGGAGTAATCTACCCTCAGGGGCGAACAGAAAGGCCCCTCCCCAGTATATACACTGTGATCGAAACAATATGGCACATGGGTGGATTATTTTAAAAGTTAACATTGAAGGGCTGGGGAGTTAGCTCAGTGGCACCGCACCTGCCTCAAAAGAGCAAGGTCCTGAGTTCAATCCTCGGTACCAAAAATAAATAAATAAATAAATAAATAAATAAATAAATAAATAAATAAATAAAAGTTAACATTGCCCTGTAAGAGAGGACATTGAGTGACTAAGAGCTTGGGCTCATTTTGGGTACCATTCCTTCTTTACCACTTACCAGCTGTGACTCTAGGCAAGTTCCTTTAATAATGTTATAATTTTATTTCCAGGATAGCATAGCACCTCACGCAATTAATAGTTGGGAGGATTGCATATGTTACAATGTGAAGTGACTAGAATAGTGCCAGGCACACAGAAAAGGCTCAACTGTTCTATTACTACCACAGTCACACTTATTATTGTTAGTAGTAGTATTTTAAATGCATGAAGAGAGTTGTTTGAAGACCCATAGCATAATTTCCTTGGGTCAGGTTAATAGTCTTCTTCAGACTAAGTGCTCACTATCTAAATTTGCTCTTCCTCAGTTGGAATTTTGTTATAAAAAGGCTGCACAGTATCATTTATAAGGCCTTGCATTAGAAGCAGAAAACTTGGCTTTAATATCTGATTGCTTTGATTAACACCTTGAAGTCTCTTTTTTTTTCCACTTGTAAAACAGCATTCATGTTTTCCACGTCTTACCAAGTCATTGCAAATTTTTTTTTTTTTTTTGGTACCAGGGATCAAACTCGGGTCCTTGAGCTTGCGCAGCAGGCGGCGAAACCACTGAGCTAAATCCCCAGCCCTACAAATGTTAAATGAGATAATGCAGATGAAGAAATTTGGTGACAGGAGAATGGTTTGCCTGGGTTACGGCATTATTGCTAAATGTCAGGTATTTTTTCAAGTGGTACAAATGATACTAAGTTTTTATAGAAATGATGAGAACAAATGGTCAATTTTCTTGGATGATCCAAGGAGATTAAGATTGTGTGTTTAGCCTTATTGTAATAATAAAAACTCCAGTGTGTCTTACTAAATTATTCTCCCAAATCTTATTCTTCAAAAATATAATGCCAATGTCAGGGTCACGAGTGGTTTAGTCTACACATTGAAAATTCTATGTCCATATCAATATGGCTGATCCACTCTTAACGGATACCTCACTGTAGTTCAATATACACTTTACATTCCATAAAATATTGGCTTTGTTTTCATAAAGACCTTTAGGGACAACATTGATCTGTGCAAGAGCATTATTGGGCTGCGCTCTTATATTCTATTTAACCAGCATTTGGCAGGTGTATATGGGAAGCCATCAGTTATTTCAGCTAAGTTCCATGGGTTTTCATTCTGCATCTAACTCGGAATTCTGCATTACCTGGGAATCAGCACCCACGACTAACTTGCCCTTGCTGCCTTATCTCTTCCCAGAGTACCCAGAACAGACTCAAATTACCTGTGCATTTGTGCTTTGCATGATCTGAAAAATACCCCTTCCCACATTCCTGGACACACTGGGCTTCCAAGAGGAGAAATGGCCCTTCACAGCGGGTGCACTGATAGGGACCTTGGCACTGGAGACAGTGGCTGTCACAGCCTAAAAGACAAAAGTCAAGTCAACCGAACAGGAATCTGTAGCTTTCCAAGGGGGCTCTGGGCCCTTGTGGGAAGGCAGCATTAGGTACCAGGTAGCAATACCATTTGGTCAACTAAGTGAAGCACCCCATGAGGAGTTAAGGAGCCAGGTTTCTGCCTGTGACACTTCACTTATCAGTCAGGAGACTTAGGATTAGTCCCTCTACCCCATGAGCCTCTGTGTTCTCCCCTACAAAATGGGAGTCAAAATGCTGTCCCACACATCTCCTTGAGTGAAGATCCAATTGCATACTAGAAAATGCTAGATATACTCTAAAGTAATTGACAGATATGAGTGATTAATGTTATTATTAACTAGTCCTTGGCACTCAGTACTATTTTGTTGAAGTGTTGGTCTTTCCTGCCTTATCCAGTCCATTACCAGTCTCTCAGGAATGCTCTCTGTGCACTTTTGGTAGAAACTGCAAGATTTGAGGATTTTGTAGTGTTAAACTGAAGCTTCAGATGATACTTGGGAGACAGAGAGGTGATAGTGAGGCATAGGGCATACATAGGGTTTAGGGAGGCAGATGGTAGAATAACATGGTCTTTCTATGGCTCCAATCCCCAGTACACAGACCTTCCCATCTGGAGGACACGATGGTTCAATTTTTAAAAAGAAATCCAAAAGCAATGTCTTACACATACCTGTATGTGTGGTCATTTAACCCCAGGATTCCCATAGTGGCATCAAATTTTAGCACATCATATAAGGGCACGGGAGAAAGAATGGGGACATTTCATAATAACATAGATAGCTCTTAGGAAAGAAACCAGAACAGGGTGAAAAACAAAGGGAAACTTGTCATAGTGTCCTTCTCAGAAATTAATGAGGCCAAGACTGGGTTGTCACAGAATGGGGCCTCTAAACCCTTACTCTTGCAGAGGCCTGAGTTGAGGTAGAACGATGGTGAGCACTGCTCTATGCAGGTGCCATCCTGGAGAACATAGCCATCCATGCACTGCAGGCAATCTGTTCTTAGAGGCCCGCTGCACACATTGCAACTCCAATCACACTCTGCAAAGAAAGCCTGGGTTAGAACAGCTTGGTTCCCATCCACCCTCAGGCCCTACAACCTATTTATGAGGCTGCTATTTGCAGCTGCAAGGGTAATGTGAGGACAACATAAGAGATGTCAGATAAGTGAGCTGTAATGAGGCCTCTGCCTATAGTGACCTGGATGCTTCTCTGAGGTTCACTGTTTCCTAATTATGTGAGACACAGGCATGGGAAGGGTGCACTCCACGTTTCTGCAGAGTGTACTTGTCAGCCAGATCAACCTGGTCTCATCCCATGGGCCCCATATGGGATTCCAAGTCTTCCATGTGCCATGCCAAGTCTTCATGCAAAGCTTGCCACAAGGAGTGGCCAACATGCCCCACTACCTAATCCTGACTTCCTCCAAATGCTCAATGCTTAATTGGTAAAGAGATGCCGGAGATCTGGTGCCACCACTGACTTTCTACCTCTCAAAACTCAGGCAGTGACAACATGATAGAAGGAACCAATGATATTGGACTTCAATGCAGCATAAAGCAACTGTCCAAAAAGAAAGCTCTTGGGGAAACAATGAAGGACTCATTCAGGGCTGTGGAAGTGACTGGCTTACATGGTCATTTGCTCAACTCCCACGGGAGACACATGACTGCACCAGGAGGATATGAATGTAGGAGGTGCAGACCCTGCCTTCAAGGAGCATATGCTGTGGCAAGGCCTATCCTTGGATAAATCAGATAATGCAGGGGGATTGTTAGAAATACAGAGGATCAAGCTCAACATCAAAGGCAGAGTTGGGGCACAGGAAAACATGTTGGTGCTGCTTTTGCTTTTTGTTATTGTAGTTATTATGTATAGTTGTTGTTGCTGTTGTCTTTAGTGTTCCAAGCAATTCTGAAGCAACTACAAAACCAGTGTTCTAGCTGGTAAGAAGTGTAGAAGATGGGTTGCAGGGCGTGGTTAAAGTTTTGAGGCCAGGCAAGTTGCTGTTTAGTCAAGGAATTGTTACTTTTTATCTGCATCACTTCATATACCTTCTTTACATGTTTGAAGCCTCAATAAAACAGGGACAAACATAGTACCCAATTTACAAAGTCACTGTGAAGATTAAGTAAAATTATGAAGGTAAAGAATTTAATACAGGAGCTGGGCATGTCGCTCAGAGATAAAGGAGGTACTTAATATATGCAAGGTCTTGCGTTCCATCCCCAGCACTACAATAATAATTAATCAATATATAATTTAGTGCAGTGTCTGGCATATAGTAATAGCTCAGTAATTGTCTGCTGCTGAACTATTTTTCTTACAGAAAAACTCACAGCTTCCTCAACCATACTCTCCATCCTAAGAAGCTGGGGAAAACTGTCACCATTTACCTTTTCTCTTCCTTGATGCAGTATTTCTATGTCCCAAAGAGCAGGTAAATGCGCAAGACGGTATACACGCTCCCAAGATTTATAAAGTTAATTTCACTCATTTATTTGGCTGACTCAGTCCTAAGGGAAAAGGACTAAAACATAGCCTTGAAACCTGCCAGCATGGTTATGAAATCATTTACAACAGGGAGGATTTGTGATCATCTTGTTTTGCACTGCAAACTGACAGCCCCTGGTTAGAAGGAAAGCAGCAGAGGCTTCTGTGGTCTTTGGTGCAGCAGACCACCTAAGTTGACAACCATGTAGAATTTCTTGGAATGGAAAATGTGCAATGTTGCACAGACTCAAAGCATCCCAAGTTCAGTTGGCAGAAGTTTGACCTCCATATCTGAGCTGCAGCTTCCCTGCCAGAGCTGGAAGCAGAGAGAGAAATGTGGAAAGAGGCCAGGATGAGGGGGAACATGGAACAGAATCAAGTTAAACTTGTTTTTAGCTCTGTTTTTTTCACCTTGCTGAGGATTACCATTCAAAGAGCAAAAAATGCCAAGAATTCCAGCTATTGGAGCACAAAGAAAAAGGCACTTGTTTTTGATATTACCTCCCTGTAAATTCCCTGTTGACAGGGACAGTGTTTTCTTGTCAAGCAGAGATGACAGACACAACTCCTGACCTCCTTGAGTGTAGAGTCTAGCAAGCTACAGCTATAAGTGCAAACACTGAAGGGCCCAAGAAGATAATGTAAATCTTTGCAATAGGTCTGCTGTGACAGAACAGGGCGTGGTGGGGGCTTTGGTGAAGAGACAGGGCTCCATCCAGCAGGGAGGAGAGCTGCATGGTGCCTATCTTTGCACAAAGATAACTCAAAGCCAGTACTGCCAGAATCTTCTGATTTTTTTCAAAGGAAACAAAAAATACCAATTTTTCTATGCAAAGTCTTTTGATTTATAAAAAGCAAATAAACAGATTTTAAAGCATCAGAACATTAGGTGAGCCAAACACAACCAGTCTATGGGCCAAAGATATGCTGAAGATTTCCAGTTTGGCAACCTCTGGTCCAGTTACCAATGCCTGGCACAGTGGCCCACACGTTGTAGGTACTCAAAAATGTGCTTCATAAGCAAATAAGTGAGTGAATAAATGAACATGTAATTCTCGCTATCATCAGAGAAAGTCAGCACATTTGATGAGGGCACTTTCCTAATGTGGGGGACTGGGCACCATGCTAAGTGGGGTATCACTGGAGAAAAGAATCCATACACAACTCAGGAAGAGCTTTACCTCTGCACGTTTTGGTGGAGATGTCAAGATAGTACTGTGGGGCACAGCTCTCATAGTGGCATTCCCCAAAAAGCAGCACCTTGTTTGGATCTTGGCAGGATGTACAGCTGGAAAGTGAAGCACAGCTCCGACAATGTGTGTCGCATGCTGCACAGATAGAAGAAATGACAAGATGATTACAATTGCAAATGTGGAAACATGGATCAAGCTCAGGCAGATGCCACACCAGAACAAAGCCCTGCTCCAACTTGCTCTCTAATTATGACTCATAAGCCTCCTCTCTGAGCAGCAGAAACAGAAAATGCTAGTTTTTCATTTTCCAAAATAAAAGAGAATAATTTTGCTTTTCTACAGATAAATTATAAAACCATGGATGGAAATCTGTGATTCAATAACAGAATTTGTATTTACCCTAAGACCTCTGGAACTAAAGTCCAGAGTTTTATTTGAACCTTACTTCTTAAGGAAAAAAGCCCTGTATAGTGTATTTTTGTAAACCCCTGTATAGTTTAGGTGTGTGTGTGCATGTGTGCGTGTGTGCATGTCTCTGTGTGTGTGTGCGATGCCAAAATTAAAATTAGATACCAACTGCAACATGGAGCTTATGAAATCCCATAATTTAAGATACAAAGGACTCAAAGCTTACTTGGTTTATTAGTTTGCTCAATTGTTCTCAGCAGCCAGCGGTATAATTCATGACTCTCCACTTTGATAGTGCTTCTGTCTTCTCTAACAACTGGCACTGCTCTATCGAAATTGTTCATGCTAGAAACCTTGGAGTCTATCTTGGTATTTCTCTTTCTTTCACTTCTAATCCAATCACTCACTGGGTCCTATTTTTTCAAAGTCTCTAACATAACACGGTGAACTCTGCGCTTTTCTTCATATCCACAAAAAACAATACACCCAATCCATTATCATCCTTGCGGGATTCAGTCACAGCCTCTTGATTGGTTTCCTCATATCCAGGCTGAGCCCCTGCAATCTACTTCCCATGCATCCACCAGAGAGACTTATTCATATTGCTCAGGTCACAGAATGCACTTCCCCTACAAACTCAATGCTTTTCTTTAATAATGGAAAATTTCCCACCATCATTTCCACAAATATTGTTGCTCCATATTTTCTCCATTTCCTCTAGCTAGAAATCCTAACACATTTGAATCCTCTTAATATAAACTTCAAGATTCTTATCTTTCATTATTACTCTTCATTCTGTCCTTCCAGAAAGCCTTTGTAGGATCTCTACTCAAGAACAAGTCTCCCAGTTACACGCTCATATTAGCACCTTAGACATTTCTTTCCTGCTATGTGTAACAATTTTCACTTAAGTAATCACTTGTTTAACATCTGTATCCTTTAAAAGCTGTAGACTTCATGAAAGCAAAGAGCAGGTTTGTTTTGTTCCTTGCATTATTCCCTAGCCTGGGGCTGGTTATCTGTTATATTGCAGGTGCTCAGTCAATACCTGCTACATAAATGAGCAAAGCCAAGCATTTAATATACAAACACACAAAAGCACCCACATCTCTACCCCATTCTGAAATCCACTTTAAGTGTATGTCAGGGGAGAGGGGAATGAGAGCAAGCCAATAGTTTTAGGACTACCTTATAGGGTACAAGTGCGGCATAATGCAGGAAAGTTACCTCCCTATAAAATAAAAGAGAAATGATGTACTCTTATTTCTCCTACAAAGAAAGTCACTGTGATAAAAATATTTATTTGAATGTGTGCACTGGTAATTTAAGATCCTTGGAAAATTATTGATTGCATTTTCAAACAGACACTTTGGAAATAATTAGAAAAGAGTATTTTAACTGTTGGAAGCTTATTCAAGACTAAATTTTTATTCTTTTTTTGCTAGGATTTTTATGCATGGTTTTTAATTTGGAAATAGCATTTGACAAACATCTTGAAGACAAACTTGTGAATTCAAAAATAAAGTAGGCTCTAATAGTTGTAGGTAGATTTGAAGATGACTGAAATACACACTGAAAAAGTGCTTAGTAAATCTGCATAATTAGTAAAAGCAATGTCCCTAGTAGAGTACAATAGTGATCAAGCGGGCCGGGGATTTAGCTCAGTGGTTCTGGTTCCTGCCTTGCAAGCTCAAGGTCCTGAGTTCGATCCCCGGTACCAAAAAACCCAAAAAACAATAGTGATCAAGCCTTAATTTTATACCTTATCAATATTTTTGGTAATGACTTTAAACAAAAGAATCATGCTAATCAAATTTAAATATGGCATGTATACCTGTATTGGAAACACATGGTTAAGTTTTACTAGCTGAGAGAACAAGAATTCAGTTATTTCAACCAGTTGAAACAATAAATCTAAAGTGGTCAAGTGAAATAAGCAGAACTGTAAGTGAAGTCCTGCATTTTCATTCTAAAACCAACTGAACAAATATAGGATGGGGATGACTTGCTTAGGCAGCAGTTTTCTATAAAGATAACCAGCCCAAGCCTTTTTGACAATTAACGACTTAATATTAACTAAAAAATGTGATGTGATTACTGAAGATACTAACATAAGCTTCAGCTGAGGAGTCTCCCCAAAACCAACTGGGCTCCCTACTTGGCATGCAGCTGCACATGAAGCCCAATGACAGCTCCTCAGCCTGGAGCCACAGGCCAATACCCCTGCCCCGAGGTCTGAGAGTTTCTGATGCCTTACATTTTTAGCCTTCCTCTGCCTCTGGGCTCTTGAATCTTTGCATGCAGTCTCTTATTTCCCTGTGGTACCGTGGTGTATAAGTTAGCCGTACACTGAGCATTTTGAAATGTTAGACTACTTTGTGGATGTAAAGGGATGCATGTCTATCATCCTGATCTCCAACTTTCCCCTTCTCCTTTCTTTCTATGGCAATCAGGCAACGGCCGCCTTTGTCTCACACACAGTAGTGGTGTACACACCACAGGCCCTTGGGTCCTCAGCTTCTATCTCCAGAGGCATGTGGTGAAGGAGCACTCTCTCCTCCTTACTATATTCACCCCACACAAAGTATTTCTCCTGAGGCAGCCATGTTGGTGTGACTTTCCCACAATGGCAATACCGAGGGCAGGTCACTGAGGTCACTGAGTACCATGGCAAGTGCCAGGATAGAGGAGAGGGTGGTAAGTGGACCAGAAGCCAGGAAGTGACCCAGGGATGAGCTGTCACCAGCGGTCAGTGAGGAAAGAGGAAGGCCCTCCCAGTGTGTGGAATTTACTAGGCCTGTTCTCTATGTAGGTCTGAGAGACACCACCAACCTCTGCTCAAACTGTCTGCTGGGTCCAGTTCTGTTGAGGAATCAGAGATGACCAGGTGGGAAATGAGAGTTGATTTCTAACTTTTGAATGTAATCATGTGAATGAGGGGGAGACTTATTCTCTACTTCCAGAGGGAAGTTCTATGGTTGATCAGAAAGAATAGCCCACCAACGATGGTTCTGGTGGAGGTCTGGGAAGGAGAAGGAGAAACAATATCTGTGCTGATTCAAGGATGCCTTGGGTAAGCCTGGAGCTCTCCTCCAACTGCAAGGTACTGCACTTATTCAGCATCACTTTTTAAAGTTCCTGCCTCAACTGCTTCCCTTAAAGTTTAGGGCTGGGGTCGGGGATTTAGTTCAGTGGTTTCGCTGCCTGCTGCGCAAGCAAAAGAACCTGAGTTTAATCCCCGGTACCAAAAAAAAAAAAAAAAAAAAAGCTTAGGGCTGAGTTAATAGTACAAACTCTCTAAAGATTTCTGCAACCAGAATCTGGAAAGCTCCCCAGTCCTTACTTTCTTTAATAATAGTTATCATTGCCTCCTCTAATACTGGTTACATTTCCTCAAAAACCCTTTACTGAACAATTTTTAAAACTGGCAGGCCTATAATTGCCTGCAATGGTGAACATTACAAAGGGGCATTGTTGATTTTTTTTTTTTTTACATGCTAGAAACTCAAATATCCCAATTAAAGGGCTTACTTCATGCAATCTTAAAAAGAATAAAACTTGGGCCAGGGATGTAGTTCAGTGGCACTGTGCCTGACTGGAAAGTACAAGGTCATGAGTTTGATCCCCAGTACCGAAAAAAAAAAAGATATCAAAAAGAATGAAACTTAAGGACTGAAGGTAGGAGCTTCTTAATTCAACTGAACCAGCCTATGAAATCCTATTTACATGGTAGCAGAGCAAAGGTACCACCCTGCAGTGAGGCAAACACTTCCCCAAAGAGAAATATTTCAATCCAATGCATTTTTGTCATCTATACTTCATACAAGGGATTCTGTTTTTCCTTTTGAAATTCTATTCCTGTGATTCCACTGCTGTGAAGATCCTCATAAATCTGAATCACTATTTCTCTGCCAATATTCTTTTCCATTTGAACAGAACATGAAAGTATTTCATTCCTGTCTCTTGTATTATAGGAAGTACAGATCCTGGCAGACAGCTGATATATACCATGCAAAATTTCTGTTAAGTAAAGAAATCTTCCCATTGGTTCAGTAAAGGTTGCTATTGTTGTTGTCTCAATAGGTGATGCAAAGGTGTGAAATCCACATAGCTTCATTTCAAAGGCAAATGCTTGCAAACACTCAATGAACTAACAGTAATATCTTCCTTTCTATATAAATATCTTTTGCTATGTGATTTACCTTTTATTCCAGATGATGTTGATGCCCATGATGCTCATGATGATGATAATGATTTCAATAACAATCATTACTATACTGAGAGAGACCTTCTCCTCTACTAGAGTCTGTGTTGAATGCAACTAGAATGGAGATATTGTTATAATCCCTCTATTACAGAAAAAGAAACTGAGGCCCAGCAATTAATTGACTTGCTTAAGACCACAAAGTGGCAGTTTACTGTGAGTGTCAGTTAGGGCTTAAGCTTCAGACTCCTGACCCCACAGCTTACCCTCCTCATTCACTCATCTGCCATGACATCAACATGGTACCTCCTGGAACATAAAAATGAAACACTGCCTCTCTATTTGTTCACTGTCATTTTCAAAAGTAGGAAATAATATTTTTTGAATGACACTTTAGTGACTGAAATAAAGTAAGCTATCTCTCAGCCTATCTGAAATGTTCCTTCCTCTGTGAAGGATTCCCTACACTTTTCCCATTTTGATCTGCCCTTTCCCTAATTTATGCTAATTCATTTCTGCCTGACACAAGGTAATCAATCATATTCTGACTTATTTGAGAAAGAAGACATCTATATATGTAACTGTTATGAAAACAAAATAACTACTTTTGGGCAGAAATAGTTGGAATGTTTTGCAACATGTAAAGTCTTGTATGGTGTCAATATTCAACATATAAATGGAGAAAACAAGTTAAATCCAGAAAAGTGCTTAGGCACTGTCTGTGTACTTAAGCAAGCTTCATTCTCTAGCCAGGATCAAAAACTGGATAGCTGTGAGAAATAATAAAGGTGAAGCAGGCTAATACTTATTTTATAAATGAGATAACTGGAACAGAGAAGTTAACCTGCTCAAGATCACCGCTAGTATTTAGAGAAGAGAACTTTCAATCAGTAGATGTCTGAATTACAATCTACTAATGGCCTCCACATTGTCCCTGCACCAGTTTTCTTCCATTTAGAAAAACAAAGGCTACTGAGAGAGAAGATGGAAAACAAGAACTTCACATTTCTTCCAGCAGCCCCTGAAGGGCAGAAGAGAGAAATTTCATTAAAACACCTACGCTGGCAAGCACGACTGTCATCCAGGTAGTGTCCAGGGAAGCAGGAGATGCTGCAGGTACCCATGTGGGTAAGAACGAGGCTGGTGTTGCAGGAAGAACAGGAGAAAGGTCCTCCAGCCTGGCAGGTCCTGCAGGAGGAGTGGCATCCTGCAGAGGGAAAGGAGACAACAGAAGCTCTGGTGCCAGGTTCCCTTCTGAAGCAACAGCTCGGGAGGGTGCAAAGGGTACTGGTGCTCAGCATGTGGCCCTGCAGGCTTCCTGCTTCCTCTCGTTTTGGGAAATTCATCCTTCTAGGCTCCAGCCCCAAAGAAAACCTCACTAAGCGTTACTGGCTCCCGGTCCAGCACTTAACTCACTTTTACAAGTGCCCCTCTCTGTGTAGTATCCAGAAGGGCAGTGGGGAACACAGTGGTCACCCAGCAGCAGGTGGCGGGCATTCTGGCACCTCAGGCAGACGCTCTTGGTGTCCTGGAGATCAGCTGCACAGTGCTGGCACAGGGGGTGGCAGTCTGCAGGGGCAAGGAGCAGAGAGAAGGCACAGATGCTCGTGAGCACACATTTCGTCTCTATGCCAAAGGGCAAAGTGATTTCAATCACCAGCAGCGAGGCAGACACCCGGAGAGTAGCCAAAGGCAGATGTCAGCAAAGTAGAAGCCTGAGACCTGTTCACATTGTGTGCTTGAGAGTTTTAGCAAATGATGAGACCCAGCAGAGTGACTGAGTTTTCATCTCTTTCCAACTGAAGGATCTTCCAGTACCAGACCAAGTACCATGTGACAGATCTTTCCCAGGGGCAGAGGAATAGCAAGATCAATACTCCCAAATCCAGCTGGGAACAGTGGCACATGCCTACAAAGCTAGTGCATGTTTATTCAATGGGAGCACTCTGGGGGGCTGAGGTAGGAGGATAACAAGTTTGAGGCCACCCTGCGCAACTTAGTAAGACCCTATCTCAAATTTTAGAAAGGGCTGGGGATATAGCTCAGTGCAAAGGCCCTGGGTTCAGTCTCCAGTCCAAAGCAAACAAACCAAGAATCTACCAACCTCTCTACAAAAATTGTGAGCACCCAAGTGGGGTATGCCCCGTCACCATGTCCACCCCCCCATGGCTCTCCCACACCTGACACACTGGTCTCAGGCTTCAGTTTGGGAGGGACTAGGGCTTTTTAGATCATTGCATTGAGTTGCTGGAAAATGCTAGTCTTTAGCTAGAGATAAAGTTACAAGGAAGAGTTGTGAGCTGAAAAATTATTTTTATGACATGACACATAGTTCATAGCAGCTCTGTGGAATCAGCTGTGATTAAAACTATAAAACAAATTATCTCATGTGGCCAGTACTCTCTGGTCCTCATATAACAGTCATTCTCCAATGAAGAACCAGATTAGCTTCTATTGCAGTGAAAACTTCCTTTCTTTCCAACTGACAGTAATACCCTTGGAATCTCATTTACCCTCTTCCATCCCAAAAATTATCCACCAAAATGAGAAAGGAGTAAAGATCAAGGAAAAAAGAATCAATCTTCATGTTTTTACAGAGCTTTCCCATCATCTGTAGGAGTCCAGGGACCTGTGTGCCCTCGCTAATGTGCCACGCGGGGCCCAGTCTCAAGGCCTTGTAGATAGATTCTGATGTCCAGCCAGATTTTCACTAAAAAAATCCCAGTCAGAAAAAGAGATAGCCTGCCTCAAGTCCTGTTAGGCAGGTCTTTCTTTCTATACTCTGGGCGATGCCTTCCAAATTGCCAGTCATCTAGACCCATTGCCTGTAAGCCAAGCAGAGCTCCCCGGACACCAGCATCCACTCAGCTGCAGGAGAGTCCTGCCTAAGACCCCCTCCTGTCACCCCAGAAGTATCCTCAGAAAGGATCATAAACTAAAAGCCCCTGACCCTTCTCTGAACCCTGGGTGTTTCAAATTACATGCAGTCCTTTGCTAATATTAGAAACAATTCGTGCTATCCTACAAGCCAAATTAATCCTCATTACAGCCTTTCAGTGAATTATAAAGGAAACGATGACTGTATTGAGGGTAATATGAGGAGGAGGCCAGTGCTCTGCTTCCTGTGCGAGCACAATCCAGGCATGCACAGGTAAGTTCAAAAGCATAGGGAAGCTGCAGGAGCTAACAAAGGTGACGGTGTTTTCTGATTTGCTTCACGGGTGGGTAAATGTTAGGGTGGGAAACCTAGGCGCCATGACAAGTAAAGGCTCTTTTATGTGGTTCCTTCCCCTCCAAGCAGGGGTGGGGGGTGGGGTGCAGAGCGGTCCAGGCCCAGGGGCGAGATCTGCAGAGCTTCGGTGGTGTAAAGACTAGTTGCATCTAACTGAAGCTTTCTCTAGTGTGCAATTAGAGAAATGAAAAAGAATGATCGCCAAGGGGATGCTTTGAAGAGAAAGTAAGCAGATCTCTGAAGTATTTTGTAGGTATAATAAATAAGTATTTATGGGTTTGTCTCATCTTGGGACTCTCTAGACACTGTTCAAATGAGGAGTGTAAGTATACTAATTACTTCTTCAGGAAGCTAGAGCTAGGGCAGCTACATTCCTTCCCACCCTGCTAGCAGTTGCTTTGAAACCTCACTGTGGTGCCCAAGTCCCACCCCTCCTGCCTCCACCAGGCCCCCATGAGACTTCATCTACCACAATTACTCGAATCCTGCAGAAGCACCTTCCGGGCATTCCCTTCAACCTCAAACATTCACCTTTACTCTTTTTTAGTTCTTCTCTCATTTCACAGGATTCCTCCATCAACTTTCTCCATCCTGAATTCAACATTATTTCACCTTTCCCCCTTCATCTCTCTTTACTCTCCCTGACTCTCCCTGCCAGCATGCTTTGAACCACCCTCACTTTTCTCTATGAATGCCCCCTCCCCTGCCTTTCCTTTGCCACTCCACTGCAGCCTGTCTTCCACCTCCACAATTCTGCTGCAGAGAAAAGGTCTCTGATGGCCTCCAATGACCAAATCCACTGGCCTCTGCTTCCTCACCTGCCTGAGATCTGTAGCACATGGCACTTCCCACCAGCCCTCCTCCTTGAAACGCTCTCCTCTCTTTGCATGCTCACTGGTGCTCACTTCGGTTGGGTCCTTTCTCTTGCCTCTAGCTCACTGATAAATACAGGGATTCCTCACCACCTTCAACTTCTTCTATCCTCCTAACCAAGTCTCCAGAATATCTTATGCCAGAAATGACTGGTTTGGGCACAGGGATACCAGGGACTGGTGGAAAGGGCTCAAGAGTTGCAGAGAATGAAACCACTGAGGGCATCTGCTGCCTTCTACATCTCCATGTTGCACCAGCCCTAAGAAGGCATCTGTCATTCCTCAGACATATCACAGTACATGACAGAGTGAGACCCCAGAGGTGAGGGAGAAACCCATAAGTGACATCTAAAAATATCAGTCAATTCCGGGCTTCCCAGAGCATCACATTATCTGAGCTAGTTTACAGTTCTCCCTTACTGAGGAGATCATGACTACTTGAATTTGGAAAGTTGGGCTCTCTCCTTTTTTTCACTACCTGTTTTCATTCTATGACAAAGTCACGCTGAGCACTAGATACTCTGAATAATAAATTCATTCCAAAACAATAATCTGAGTGAGTACTGCATTAATCCAGCCATGCAAACCTTCCTTCCTAATCCTGTCACACAAGATCCCCGAACACAAGATCACTTAAGTGAATACACTCCAGTATCCTGCTCTGAACTTTGGCTGACTGATTTTATTAACCCAAGATATTAGGGATAATAAATTCCCAAGACCAATGAAACACTTTGTCTTCAGAGGCTTGCAGTCAGAATCTCTTTGTAGGAAGAATTCCTTGGGAGACCTCAACATAAGTGATGAGGCAGAGGGAAGAAGCCGGAAACCAGAGCATCAGGAGTCCAAGGATTAATACGAGGTTCAGACTCTGAACCAGCAAAGTGGGGTCCCCACAGCAGACTGCAGAACACAGGCAATGGGCTACAAGGAGCCAGTCCAGGAGGCTCGCTGCAAGCTTTGGGCTCACACCTGGGGGCCATTGTGTTCTACACAGGAGTGGCCAAGCAGGGTTCAAATAGGGATCTGGAAGTTTTCTTTTTCTGACTGCAAAGTAATCCATGGAAGAAAATATGGAAATTATTTCTACAAAGTAAGTATGAAAATATCCTTAGGAATGCCTTTTAGAGTTGGAAACTACTAACACTCACATTTTTCTTTTAGTTCTTTTTTCTACACAATTTTATATAGCAAGATCTTTACAAAGATGAGATTATATTAAATGTGTACCTACAGTACCTTTTTTACTCAGTACTAGCAATATCTCCACATGTCATCTTTGCCCCTTTGTAAACATCCTTTGTAGGGACTACATAACATTTTAGCATTGAGTAAACAAACAAAAATTGCCATTTTTCTTATAGTTTGAATATTCACTTCCAATTTGTCTCCATTTTTCTAATTTAGGCTAAGATAAAATCTTGGCACATATGTCTGCATTCTAGATTATTTCCTAAAGGACAATGTTAACGAGTACAATCTGAAGTATCATGATAGTTTACATTTATTGAGCTGTGAATACATATCAGGCACTACACTAATTGTATAAATGCATAATCTTATCTAAAGAGATGGTGGAAACAATGTTATCAGCCCCATTTTATAAACGAAACTGAGACTCTGAGAAGTCCTTAGCTCACACATCATATCCATACATACTCAGGAGCAGATGCCTTTGACCCCGACACGCCTAAAAACAATGCAAAATTCTTAACAGGTATCACAAATTTCTTTCCAGAAAGTTTATGCCAAATTATATTTCCAAAAGTCATTGATTGCTTCAGCGCTAGCTAAGAAATTTGGAAACTGTAAAAAAGTCTCTGCTACTTTGGTTGGTGAAGATTGGTCTTAAAGCACTGCTTTAATTATTTTTAATCATGTGAGGTTGAGCATGTAAAATTTTTTTGTTTCTTTCAAACAGTAAAAATATTCAAATGGCTACTGTAATCATCAGGCTTTCAGCACTGTGGGAGACAATGACACTGGATTTATATTTATATTTATAATTGAGTAATTAATATATATAATAATAATCTGAAGTATCAACTAGTGAGCTCTTCCTCACCCACTGTGACATCCTCCATCGGACCAGGGAGCATGAGCCATCATATACTGCCAGAGAAAGTTATCAAAATCAGACTTACAAAGGTACCAAATTTTGAACCGGGGATACAGCTCAGTGGTAGAGCACTTGCCTAACATATGTGAAGTCCTGGGTTCATGAAAAAAAAAAAAACTACACAAACACTAAATTTGTAGAAGCCAGGGCCCAGGTAAAACATAGAAAAACAAATAAAATAAATAATATAAATGTGCAGTGGGACTAACAGACCTGAGCCCTCCATGAACAGGACCCCTACACTCTCCTCTCCACCACTCTGTGAAAAGCCTTTCAGCCAGAGAGCAAGAGGGAGCACTGTATTCGCTCTGCTGCTGCCTTGCCTCTTATGGAACAGGCTGGAAGC